TGATGTACTGGAGACCTGCCCATGTGTCCCCATGCTGGACTGAAGACTTGTCCATTTGTCCCCATGATGGACTAGTGACCTGTTCAGGTGGACCTGTGATGGACTGGTGACCTGTCCATGTGTCCCCGTGCTGGACTGAAGACCTGTCCATGTGTCCCCATGCTGGACTGGAGACCTGTCCATGTGTCCCCATGCTGGACTGAAGACCTGTCCAATCTCCGTAAGGAAAACAACAGCGAGTTTATAAGAATTATTGAAACACTTTTAAAAGCAGCCAGCAGGGAGCGCTGTGGACTCCAGACTGAATTCAGTGCAGAGCCCAATATTTTTAAAACAAAATGAACTTTCTGCAAAATTACACATTTGATCAAGTGTCAATATTGTTTTAGGTTATCAGATACATTTTGTGTTTCATAGAGAACGAGTTAGAAAATGATTTGTGGAGAGTGCGTGTTTTTTATGTTCTGTGCACGTGTGTGTTGTGCTGCAGGTTCTCAGAGGATTTGTGCAGTGTGTTTTGTGTATTTGTGCACGTGTGTGTGTTGATTACAACTGACTCTTGTCTCCACAGAGATCTAAGCAACAACAGAATCAGCTCGCTGTCCAACGACTCCTTCTCAAACATGAGCCAACTCACCACACTGTGAGTACAACCCCCCCCCCCCACACACACACACACACACACACCACTATCTTAGGTCTTGTTTCCTTTTTTATTCTTCTAAGAATGAAGAATTTATCACAACTTGAAGTTAGTTTGTTATAAATGCTTCGGTTTTCCGAATAAATGTTTATAATTTATCAATAAAAGTGAAGTCTGGTCCTCTGGACGTTCAAAAAAACAAAACAAACAAAACAAAAAAAAAAGTAGAAACGTTTCATCTTTCATCCGAAAGAAGATCCAGTCCCCGGCACAAACAGAGTAATGTTGTGTATGCTGTTCAGTGTCAGGAGGGTGATCAGTCTAAACTAAACAGCCACTGGCCAAAAGGATGGACCAGCACAGAAGATCAACATCATCAGGGCTGGACTCTGAGGTCTACACTCATCTCCAGGCCAGCGGTCACTCTTTCAGGGATGAAGATGTTCACATCCTGGATAGAGAGGAATGATGGTTTGAGAGAGGAGTAAAGGAGGCCATCTTTGTGAAAAGAAACCGTCCATCATTAAACAGGGGTGGAGCCTCCAGGTTCAACTGTCCCCCTCTTACAATGCTGTGATTGCTAGTATCACTCAGCCCTCTGTGAATAGTAAACAGCCATCAGGTGCTAATGATCCATTGTTAGGCTGATGGTCATTTCGGAACCGAGTGGACCAACACAGACTGAAGGTAGATGTCATTAAGTTCTGCCTGTCCCCAAAACAACTGTGTGTTTATCTAAATTTGGTCGCCTTGGTGTCCTTGAAGGCCACCTTATCTAAAGTCGCCTGGAGAACATGTGATCTGACGCTCACCACCCCCTCCCTGAGGAATTTCCAACTGATAACTAGATGAAACCAGCTGAATAAACTTTGTGTCATCATTTCAGGACTCTTGGATTCTCATAGACGTTATCCTTGGTCATTCCTCGACATCCCTCGAGAATGTTAATGGATCTCACCGGAGGACACTGACTGATTACAGTGACCTCGAGAGCATCTATGAACATTGTTGACCGATCTCGTCTCCATTTGCAGAATGTCTATGTAAATATGTGCTTGTTTGTGCGAGGTGTTTTTTCAATATTAGGGGTTTTTCTCAGCCAAGAAAAAAGTCTGATAGGAATTTTTTCCGCCTCCAACTCCTACATGTGTCCAGTTAACCACGGTTTTTGTCTGTCCAAACAGGTCTCACTTGTAAATGAGTCTTCGAGGCTCAATGTGATTTATCTGTTTAAATAAAGGTTGAATGCATGGTCCTTCTTGAGCATGTGATCAGCTGGTTTTGGTTGTCAGCAGCAAACTGGTTGATCCACTTTGAGAAGGTGCTATTTATAAGACTGAGCTGAATACAGCTCCTCAGACTGAGGAAGTCCTCAGGATGGAAGACGAAACGTTTCTACTTTTGTTGGTTTTGTTTTGTTTGCTTTGTTTTTTGAATGTCCAGAGGACCAAACTTAACTTTTTTAATTTTTCTACCTGGATTACTGAGCATGCATCAGGATGTTAATAATTTAGCCCTGGCAAAAATATTAACTAATGTTTAGTTAGTTACTAATGACTAACGTCTAGTCAATAAAAGTAATAGTTGGCTTTTATTATAATATGAACAAACCATTGCAAACTGTATTAAAACTAGACACAAAACAGAATAAGAAAGATGAAGTTGAACAAAACAAGCACCACTTTATACTGGCTGCTGTTTAAATCTATCCAAGCAAATTGTATAATATTTATAGATACCATTATATTTTCTAATGTTTACTTGTCAATAAAAATTAGATGCTTAAGAAACACTACGGTTGTGTGTGAATGAGTCACATCCTTCCTGCACAAATATTGTCTCCATAAAATTCAACAAGGCAGGGTCTGCAGACCTGATGGGTACCACTTTACAATAAGGCTCCCCTTATAAATGCTAATAAAAAAGTTTATAGGTACGTTATTAATTCCTCTATAAACATTTTATAAACAATAACTGCTTATTATGCATTAATTAAGGGTGACAGAGACAAAACTGACCAGTTTCTTGTCAAATGGTGAGACAAATCTGTTCACCTATATATTTAATCTAGAGTTGTTGTTTTATATACATAAGTTACTACCTTGTAAGCACAATAAGCATTTGTAAACCTATTTCATTAGCATATAATATTGTACTGACAGCAGCTGTGGCTGAATGATTAGAGCAGTCGTCCAATGCAAGAGTTGGGGGTTTGAATCCACCAGCAGTCAAATGCCGAAGTGTCCCTGGGCAAAACACTGAACCCCTCATAGCCTCAAAATGTGTCCCATCAGTGTATGAATGTGATAACGTTTGATTAGTCTCTTTAGAATGATTTGTTCAGATATTCTTTGAATGGATCTAGTAGAGTGCTGTATGAGTCAGAGAGTCAGTCAGAGCTACTTTATTGTCGTTCCACCTCATGTGGTACATGTGGTGGAACGACATTATGTACACAGGCTCCCAGTTACATCCAACAATAAAATGTAAAAGAAAAACAATGATAAGATCTAAGATATGACCTAAGAAAAACATCAACTAAATATACACTAAGCACTGATAGTATAAAAACAATATGTCGAACAGCAGCACGAACATGAGCATGAGTCTGTGTGAGCAGAAGAGCACGCATGAACGCAGCAACATGAAACAGATCAGCAGAAACATAAAGCAGATCAACAGCAACATGAAACAGATCAGCAGCAACATGAAACAGATCAGCAGCAACATGAAACAGATCAGCAGCAACATGAAACAGATCAACAGCAACATGAAACATATCAGCAGCAACATGAAACAGATCAACAGCAACATGAAACAGATCAGCAGCAACATGAAACAGATCAGCAGCAACATGAAACAGATCAGCAGAAGCATAAAACAGATCAGCAGCAACATGAAACTGGTCAGCAGCAACATGAAATAGATCAACAGCAACATGAAACAGATCAACAGCAACATGAAACAGATCAGCAGCAACATGAAACAGATCAGCAACAACATGAAACAGATCAACAGCAACATGAAACAGATCAACAGCAACAAGAAACATATCAACAGCAACATGAAACAGATGAGCAGCAACATGAAACAGATCAGCAGCAACATGAAATAGATCAACAACAACATGAAACAGATCAACAGCAACATCAAACAGATCAGCAGCAACATGAAACAGATCAACAACAACATGAAACAGAGTAACAGCAACATGAAACAGATCAACAACAACATGAAACAGATCAGCAGCAATATGAAACTGATTAGCAGCAACATGAAACAGATCAAAAACAACATGAAACCGATCAGCAGCAACATGAAACAGATCAATAGCAACATGAAACAGATCAGCAGCAACATGAAACAGATAAACAGCAACATTAAACAGATCAACAACAACATGAAACATATCAACATGAAACAGATCAACAACCTGAAACAGATCAGTAGCAACATGAAACTGATTAGCAGCATTATGAAACAGATCAACAACAACATGAAGCAGATCACCAGCAACATGAAACAGATCAGCAGCAACATGAAACAGATCAACAGCAACATGAAACAGATCAACAGCAACAAGAAACAGATCAGCATCAACATGAATCAGATCAGCAGCAAAATGAAACAGATCAGCCGCAACATGATGTGATTTTCACAGTGATTATTCTGGTCATAGATTCATGAGTCTAATAGCCTCAGGGTAGAAGCTGTTCCTCAGTCTATTGGTTCTACACTAAATGTTCCTCAACCTCCTTCCTCAGGGGAACGGGGCAAAAAGTTTGTGTGCTGGGTGAGTGGGGTCCTTCATGATGCATATGAATGGATATGAATATGCATATGCATATTAAAATGATGCATATGATATGCATTCATGTGCATTTCATACACACACCTATTCATATGAATGGTAAATGAGATCACAGATTGTAGTGTAAAGCGCTATGAGTATCTTCATAAGATAGAAAGGCACTATATAAGTACAGTCCGTTTACCATTTACTTTAGCACTGCATTATAAGTATCTGTAACTAATATTATATCCTAAAAATATAGGTTTATAAATGTTTGTGCTTACAAGGTAGTAAGTTAATCTGAAATGTTTAATATAACAACTCTAGAAATATACAGGTGAACAGATTTGTCTCACTACTTGACAAGAAACTGGTCAATTTTGTCTCTATCACATTTAATTAATGCATAATAAACAGTTATTAATGATTTATAAATTGTTTATAGAGGCATTAATAATTATCTATAAAATGTTTATTAGCCATCTATAAAGTGAGCCTTATTGTGAAGTGGTACCAGTAAGGGAGGATGAAGCAGTTGTTTGATGATAGAAACAGCACTCATGGAAAAAATGTGTATTTGTAGAACTGGTTTGTTGAATGGTGATTAATAAAATAAAACAATAAAACTAAACAGTTATCTATCTATCTATCTATCTATCTATCTATCTATCTATCTATCTATCTATCTATCTATCTATCTATCTATCTATCTATCTATCTATCTGTCTGTCTGTCTGTCTGTCTGTCTGTCTGTCTGTCTGTCTGTCTCCATCCATCCATCCATCCATCCATCCATCCAGATGTAACAATTTAAAGAAACTTGGACCAACATTCAATGCTGTCAGATAGAAGAGTTTATGCTGTTAAATAACATTTTGCTAGTTGTTGGTGGTTATGGAGCAACAGAGTGGTGTTGTAGTCTCCTCCTGTTTGTGGGTGAAACCAAACAATCCTTCCACTTTGACTGGCAGTAAAAGCATCTTCTGCTGTGTCTGCTCAGAAAGCAGCATTAAAGAAAACTAACACTGCTGACATGTCCAGTTGGCCACCGACTGGTTTGTTTTCACCTGGGAGACGTTTTGCCATTTAAAAGAGAAGGAAGTGATGTGATGTCTGTCCACTTTGTCATGAGGACAGTTTTTTAGTGATTAGACTTATAACTTTTAAAACTTAGTTTAAATTAAATAAATAATTACACCGTGTAATATAACATGTATAATTCATTTAATGTTTCTAATAATTTTAGGAGCTGATAAATTATAAATTGTATTTTATTCTAAAATATAAAACCTCAGACTTGAAGTAGTGTTGCTACATGAATGTATGTAATGTGGTTCTTCTGCCTTCTTACAGCAGTGCCAGTGGTTTCTTCAGTGTACTCTTCCTCTTTTTCTCCCCAGGATTCTCAGTTACAACTCATTACAGTGTATCCCTCCTCTGGCACTGGCTGGTCTGCACTCCCTGAGACTGCTGTGAGCACACACACACACACACACACACACACACACACACACACACACACACACACACACACACACACACACACACACACACACACACGTGTTTACTTATATAGCACCAGTTCACAACAGAAGTTATCTCAGGGTTCTGTATGAAAACATCCACATACATTATAAAAGCCAATTAATCAAAGTTATCTATATACGGAAGTCAGCAGACTCCATCACATCTTTACTTCCTCCCAATCCCACATCCTGAGCAGCATGTTGGTGTCCATGGAAAGGAACAACTCCTCTAGCAGAACCAGAATATGACTCATGCTGCCATCTACCTCGACCAGCTGGAGAATATATAATATACTATATCATTCTGTGTTTGAGCTGACAAACCAAAGACCATAATATTTTGGCCTGTATGTTCTATTGCAGTGACATGGTGGCACAGTTGGTAGAGCTGTTGCCTCTCCAATAAGGTCACCTGATTGAATCCCGACCGGCGGCCTTTCTAGGTGGAATTTGCATGTTCTCTCCGTGCACGTGTGGGTTTTCTCCAGGTACTCCAGTTTCCTCCCTGCGACCAAAAACATGCATGTTGGACTGATTGATAACTCTAAATTGTCCCTAGGTGAGAGAGAGAGAGAGAGAGACAGAGAGAGAGAGAGAGAGAGAGAGAGAGAGAGAGAGAGAGAGAGAGAGAGAGAGAGAGAGAGAGAGAGAGAGAGAGAGAGAGAGAGAGAGAGAATGGTTGTTTGTCTCATTTGTCTCTATGTGTCCCTGTGATGGACTGAACACTTGTCCAGGGTGTCCCCCGCCTCTTGCACAGTGACTGCTGGATATGTGCATCAGTGACGCCCATGACCCGAAAAGGAAGAAGAGGGTAAATATAATGGATGGATGGATGGATGGATGGATGGATGGATGGATGGAATTCTATTGTTTGCTTGTCTGCTATGTAAACAAATTACACATAACTCATAAAACAGTGGACAGATATAATAAAACTAGCAGAAAGTACCGTAATCACTGGATGTACATTTACAACTGAATAACATTTGAAGTAAACATAATTCAAGATGGCTGCCATGTCTACTTGACCTTAGCAAACAGAAAAGAGTTGAACTCAGTCACCTTTAAAGATGATGAGCTATAAAAATGTCTTGATAGTAGCTGAAAGGTATTCTAATTTTGATACTGACTGGCCAAAATCTATATTTAAAGTTTTGCCAGTAACTCTGTCCATTAGGAAAATATCTCAAGCACCACTTGACACATTTTATTTACAATTTCAGAAAGTAATCAATGGGTGTACATCTACAGCTAATTACCCTTTAGATTAATTTTACATCAGGAGATAAGTGACCTTAATTAATACAAAAACCACTATAACTCAATTGATTTTACAATGAGCTAAAATTGGGGATGGCAGTAACTGAGTCATTCCAAATATACACACTGAGCATTACATTGACTAATTTAAACAAAGATATGGAAATTTTATTTTAGATCTCTACAACTCATTAACTTTTGGAGTTAATCCAAGGCAAAACTACCGCCATCACTGATGGACTTTAGCCAACACTAAAAAGGCTGTATCTAACAAGGTCGAGTCAGGTCCTCTGGACAGATTCTTCTTGTTGAAATGTTTCGTCTTTTATCCAAAAGACTTCTTCAGTCTGAGGAGCTGCAACAAATCATCTAAGAACTAGCACCTTCTCATAGTGGATCAACCAGTTTGTAGCCAAAACTAGCTGTTCACATGTAAAAAGGAGGACCATCTGCCTAATAATTGATTGTTAGTGCCCTGATGGCAACTTACTGTTCACTGAATAGCTGACTGCTAGTGATGGAAAAAGGCTGTAATTCTGTCAGTTGAGTATGTCTATTATAATACGCCTGTCAGAAGACTGACAATGTTTGTACATCTGTAAATGTTCTCTTGTCTGGGCCATAACTTCTGATACGCTCAAGATAATTTAGAGAAAATTCATACACATATGCATCATCACTAGACAGAGAAAATTTAACAAAACTTGACAAGAGTCTATACTAGATGATGTAATCTTTTCATCAACCCAGTGAAGCCCACAAATAAAAGCCAAACATTATATACAGTCTTTGCTTGTCTGGGCCATAACTTCTAATCCACTCCAGATAAATTAATGATAAACATTTCTACCACTGCCACACATCCCTCCATCCATCCATCCATCCATCCATCCATCCATCCATTCATCCATACATACATACATCCATCCATCCATCCATCCATCCATACATACATACATACATACATTCATGCATCCGTCCATCCATCCATACATACATACATACATACATACAT